GCAAAAAAAAAAAAAAAAACAACTCCCTGGATGTGTTGGAAATGTTTGCAGATAAAGCAAACTCACAGCAAAGCCTTTTGCCTGGGTAAGAAGAACCTAATCTTAAGTGGAAGTGGGTTTTTTTTGGAAGGGGCTGGAAGGGGGGGGGGAAAACACATTAACCTCTTCTTGCCTGGGTCTAAGCCCATGCCAGCTGGGTTTTGATGGAGAGCCAGAGCTTAAACTGCCAGTTGCTTCACAAACCCCAAGAGTAGGGGGATATAAGAAGGGCAGAAAACAATTAGTTTCTTCTCATTGGTGTCCTCGACAGCCAGAGAGAGGGTCTGTGCTTTCTGACAAGAGGGTCAGATGACAAAAAATTCTCCCAGTTTGCTCTTTGTCTGTCTTTCTCCAAGAACTGCCATAGGAAAACAACGCAGGGTTCTGCATGGCCCCATGGAGTTCGGCTAGGCAGAAATTGAGTCACAGAGACTGCAGACCTGCAACTTAGCCAACTTGCAGTTTCACACCCAACAACAGGCAGCACTTTGGCCCGGGGTTCAAGAGCAGCTACAAGACGTTGCTCCACACGACCCCGTCCCTTGGGGGTGCCACCTCTCACCTGCTGGCCATATCAGCCTGTCGTTAAGAACGCTGGGGAACAACAGCAGCCAGAATCTCAAGTGGTTCTGCCCAGACTTGACTCCATCTGCCATAACCGGGGCAGGTCTCCATCTCTCCCCCCCCCCCTCATCCTCCTTCCTCCCTTCCCTTCGGCAGCATCTCAGCCCATTTCAGCGCCGTTATCCCGACTCGCTGCAGCGAAAGGAGGGAGCGGAGCCACCCCTGCTCTTTGTTCGAGCTGTAACTGGGAAAGGCTCCAAAATACAGACGTGCACAGCTGGAGGTGCGCACCTATAATACAGACACTGAAGTTCCAGCTGCAAGAGGAACACTGCTGAGAGGTCTTGGCAAGATCTCTCTCCCTCTCCCAAAACCTCCGCCAACCCCCTGCACCACTCAGCCCCGTTCCCTCCCCCACTACCACCTCTTTTCGCTACCCGCATGCCTACAACTTCCAGACCACCCCCTGCAAGACGCAGACCCCACTAATTCGATCCCAAAGCAGGAAAAAGCTTGGAGGACCTCGGGAAGATGTGGTGGTATCCGGGGGTAGCCTTCTTACCTCTCTCTACGTACAGCACCGCAGCCAACACGGCGAGCAGAAACGCCTTCATGGTGCGGCGATGGGGCCGAGGAGATGCGCAAAGAGACGACAAGCGCGCTGTGCTAGCGGTAGGGCTGAGCGCTGGGGGCGGGAAAAGGGCACCAGCGACGCCCAGCGGTCCGCCTTCAAGCCCTGAGCCGCCCTCCCCCTCCGCCTCCCCGGCCTGTGCTAGTTTCGTTTCCCCGCTCCGTCGCTCGGGAGGCCGGGAAAGGGGTAGGTGTTGAAAGGGGGGAGGGATGGCGCGCGCAGTGATCAGAGGCTTCGTGAGAGCAAAACCAGCTTTTCTCCGGCCCCTTACCTCCCTGCCCCCATTTCAAGGCTTTTTCCACCCCGCCCCCGTTCGCTTCATTTCCCTGGGGGAAGGGCATCGTTCAGCAGGGGAACCCCTTACATGCAGATCTTCCTTCGTGCATAACCCTCTTTCGCGAGCAACGCGTTGCATTCACAACTCTTTTCATCCGCTGTATTTATGGCCCCAAAATACACATGCACAGATCCCCTGCGTGCACGTGTGCTCCTGATACATCCGCAACCGCCCTGCATGCCATGTGTGCGCAGCTCCTTCTGTGCGTGACCGGATCCCCTGCCTGCACAAATATATGCAAGACTCCTGGCATGTGTGGTGCCTTCTTTGCATGTATGCTGCATGCACAGCCCCATGCATACAAAATTAGATGGACTAGATTATCTTTAAGGACTTTTCCAACTTTACTATTATTCTAAGACCCGAGCAAGTAAGGAACCAACTTTCTGACCTGCCTACCAGATCCCAAACGGGATTAGTTGAAGACATAGTGCTAGGCTAGGCAGCAGAGACAGCATGGGACATTCTGAGCTATGAGACAGGACAGGTCTTCAGAACACAGAGTGGTCCAATAAAAACGATTGCAGTTGTGACCCAAGTTCTGTAGGTCCCAAAGAAATAGCAAAGTCTTGCTAAAGGAAATGAGCTTGGTAGAGGCCTCTGAGGGAGGGAGCCTGGGAAGTTTGCTGTTGAAGGGAGTCTGGGAATGCAGGTTTGACAAACTCTGTATGCCACAGCTGGATTTAATTCTGTAGAATCAGCATTTTCTGGCAAATGAGTCTGAGTTTTGTCGGAAGAAATTCCAGCTCCTGACTTTTCAGTGTGCATTCAGAGTCCTCTACAATGAAACCTCTTCCCTCATTTATTTCATGGCTCATTCTTATTTATCATTGCCAGTTATTCTAGCAGGAACTGAGTGTGTGTGGTGTCTTTTTGTGGTCTAATGTCTTCCACTGAAATCAGCTGCTAGTGCTGTTTCTTTCTTTGGTTTGAAACTCAGATGCACAAAGCCTGTCAAGTTTCAGCTTTGAAATAGCTTGAGCATAATTCAGTTGCTCTGTGCACCATCGGTCACATTAACTCACAAGATACCAGTATCATAGAGTGACAATGACCAAGTTCAGGCATTATCTGCAAGAGTCAATCTGACTTTTTGAAGTCCATATGTGAGCAATCTCATGGCACACATCTGGTTATCAGGAAGGCAAAGCATGTTCTTTCATCCTTTCTGCTCCTTTGGTGTCTTGTTTGCTCCACACATCCCCAGCAGAAACATACAAACACGTACAGCTCTCTGGTTTTCTCACCCCCACAAATTTAACATTAGCAGTTCCATTACTTCATGAAGAGAATTCTTTCCTCTGCTGGGAAGGAAGAAAGAGGACCTTAAAGTGACAGGACCACAGGATCTGGAGTCTTCCCAGTAATACTGAAATGATGGGGTAAGGACAGCAGTAATTATAGGATGCTGCCAGTAGAACAGGTGAGCAGAGTGCCTAGGGACCAATTTGCTATGGTAGACGGTATGGAAAAAGCACCAGGTAAGGAAGCTCTTCTGAAAACTCACTGATCTAAAGCCCACATCTCCCACGTCACAGCCTTGGTAAGGAGGATGGCAAAGTTGTGATTGTCTCATGGCAGGGTTCTCTTTTCTAAAACAACATACAGCCAAACACTGCTGAATAACCGAGCCTTGTAGATTTGGGGCTTGTTGAATGAATTTGCTGAAGTGTAGGGTTCCTATTGTGAATGTAAGGTGGAAAAATATGTCCTCAGAGACAGTGAAAAAGGCAGAAGGGGTAAAATCCAGCAGCAGGAATGTGGTCTGCGCTGGAGAGAAGTGGATTCAGGTAAAGAGATATGCTCAAGGTAATCCTTTTACCTTGGGAGGTAAAAAGAAGCAGCTGGAACTGAAAGCAAAGTAGTGCTAGAGTTAAGCATAACACGGTTTGCTCTGTGCTGGGGAGAAACGGCCAGTTTGAAAATAAGGAAATGGAGATAGTGGCAGTTTCTTTCACGGGTCAAGAGAACGGGTTAGCAGGGATCAGTGCAGCAATTAAAACTGGAATTACTAGGTCTGCAAGGTTTTAGGGCTGAACTGGCACTTTGGGAGTTTGCTCAGCATTTGCATAGGCTGGTGGCATGCAGAGAGTTTCCTTTACTATATATTCTCTGTTTCAAGGCTTGGGGAGAATGCCTGACTCTGGCCATGCTCGTCTCTGTGAAGCACATTTACCCCACTGGGGTTTGCAAATGAGGTGTTTCTCCTGCTAGTGGAGGAGAATGGCTTCCCAGAGCAAATCTGCTAAAACCACTTTGCAAAGATTTCTCATTGGCAAGCCAAGCCACAGGTGTTTCTTTGGACTTTCTTGCAGTTCTACAGTGCCAAAATACTCTCCATCACCTTGACAAGACACTCTTTGCTGCAACCCATGGGGACAAACCTAAGATAACTGAATATGTAGGTATGTAGTCGCTAGGCTGCAGTATATATTAGAATAGGACCTTCATCTGATCAGTGCGAACAGAAGTCAGGAGCGTGCAGTCATAGTCAGGCTGACAGATTTATGAACTGTTGTTTGTAGTTGGTGTCAACATGTCAGATTTCCCTTTCTCAGAACCTTTCAAAACCATTTTTTCAGAACCATTAAGGTGAAGGTAGTTCTCTGACTGCTGCATGTCCAATCAGTATCCACGGCAGCATTCTTACTAATTCCATTCTGTATGACTCACACTCTGTCTTGCTTGTTTATTCTAGGCTTTTTGAACTGTGAAGCTTTAAGCAGAGGTCATTAGTTAAGTTAAGAAGTTGCATTCTGATTGCTGTTGTTAAAGTGTACTGGAGGATATGTCTCTGTCTAGAACAGCCAGAATGCTTCCAAATAAAGGTTGCTCTAGAATGATGCCCTCCAGCATTATAAACCAGCTCCTCTATCCAAACCTGACCCTTCTGTCCTTGTATGGACTATGTGGCTGGTATGCATATCTCCAGCCTTGTCCAGGATGAACCTTGGAGCCATGCTGCCTTTATTTTAACTCCAGTTCTGTTTTTGGCTTCATTTTCTAGATGGTCATTGTACTTGAGCCTTTTCTCCAGCCCTGTCTGCTTGATGACCCTTGGACCTGTATGGTACATATAACATCTCCAGTCCTATCTCCATTTTCTGACTGAAATTCGGATGCACTTTGTAGCTTTGTTTCCATTCCTGGCATCTTTTAAACTGTAGTGAGGTTATGTAGCCTTTCTGCAAAGGTTTCTGTGCCTGGGGACTTCTCTCCAAGAGCACGACCTTACATGTCTGGTGGTTCTGGGAAGAGAAGAAGCCATTCCAGACCTTTCCCATCCCTTCCATCAAAAACGTATCACACTGAAGCTTTAGGCAAGGTGCTGGACTTCGGGAGATTTGTAGTACAAATACTAATTTCAGGATGACTAAAATATGATTGGATATATGTCCATGTGTGTGAGGGCGCCTAGAAGAATCAGAAACACAAGGGTGAAGAGGAAAGGCATGTGTTTACTGCTGTATTCACCATTCTGTATTGGATTGCTTTCAAACGGAGCAGAACAACAAAGTGACCTTAAGTAAGAGAATGGAGATGGGATGGGAGCAATAAAATGCCCTGATAAGCTAAACAAAAGAACTGGGAAGTTCAGGATTTTTGAGTTAAAAGAGGCAAAATAAAAGGAAAAATGAGCCAAGATAGCTTATTTCCTTCCAAAGGGCATAAGAGGCAAATCCAAAATCATCTTGTGCTCTGACAAGTACCTTAGAAGTATGGTGAGGACTGCATAACTGTCATTTCTTGTTTAAGTGTGGCATAGAATTGACACTGGCCAGATCAGCTGGCCACACGTGTGCTGGTGCTTGTGAGAAAGTGAGTAGATTAAATCTGTAAGAATAAGTTTGAGAGGGCAAAATCCACCTGCTTGAATATTTTGTATGATAAAATTGCTTTCTTCTCCCGGAAGTTATTGCACTCTGTTTTATTACACTCATTTCCTCTAGACTGCAGAAAGAGAGTTTCTTGTTCCCAAGAGCGCTGTCTGCAGGTTATCTAATTGCTGATTACATCTAATGCTGGAGCAGGCCCTGGAGCCAAGGGCAGGTCCCAGATGAGCTATTGTGAACACCAGGCACAGAGCCAGTGCTTGCTTCCTGGTCCTCCTGCACCAGCACTGAACTTTTCATGCATGATGAACCTCATTGTGCATGATGACAGTGCTCTGCATGGTGTTCAGGGGTTTACCTGGGTGAGAAATCAGCTGAAAAAGGAGAAATCCATATCTCATTCATATTATGCAGAGCTGTGTCAGCAAGTCTAGTGCTTGTACTGCTGATGCTGGGAACCCTGGAGGTGTTCTGGGATTGAACATCCTTCGGAGTGATCTTCCTACGTGATGTCAATGGAAGAGCATTTTTGGGTCACATTTGGTGCTATAAAACAAAGTCAAGCCTGAATAGTACAGGACAATTATGCTTTAATGAAGAAATCATGGAATCATAGAAACACCAAGGTTGGAAAAGACTTCCAAGATCATCCAAGCATCCACCTACCAATATTTCCCCACTAAACCATGCCCCTTAGTACAACATCTAAACATTTTTGGGCTAGGAAAGAAAAGGTAGCCAGAACCCTCAACAGCTACATGGGAATGAACAATAGGAGGGAGAGAAGGGAGATGGAGGGGAACTGGAAGGGTGTTTGAGTTTATTCTCCTTCCCCAGTAGACACTAATGAGATGCTGAGGACAGTATTTCTATCATGCATCTGGATAATGATACTCAATCTGCTGATGCTGGAGGCAGTTCTCCCAGCAATCAACTCTAGCTTTCTTCTCTTAGATGCTAGGAACTTTTCTGATCCTATCTAAAAACTCCTTTGTGGCCATGTGAAATAACCCTAA